AGCAAGTTTAAAAAAATAAGTAGTGTCTCCCTGGAGAAAACAGTGATATCTTGCTTTGGGTTGGTGAACGGTCTCTGAGATGGAGACTGGAGAGCAAATTCAGTAGCTGCAGTGTGGTCCTCCCCAGGCACACACAGAATGTTTCTGAAAAAAAGTGTTTCTAACAATATTTTCATTTAGTCCTTCCTTTCAGTCCTTCCTATCTCTGATCAGTTTCTGAGGGTTATGTTGATGTATACTGGCTGGGAGGCGTTTCTGCTTCATAGTTTGTTGACTTTCTCAGGTGAAAGGTCAAATGAACCTGTCCTTACCCAGTCTCTTCCCTCTGTCAATCTAATCTTCACTCGTAGTTGAGGATATGTGCCATTATTTCAGCCAACTGTGCCAAGGCCAGACAGGGCATGTATTTTGTAAATAGTTTATGGCCTTGGTTTCTTTCCTTTACATGTCAAAATAGCTGTTCATGCAATATAAGCTAATACCTGCTTGCTGGTAAAGGAATGACAGAATTTGCTGGTAACAAGTCATATTGTCTGTATGTGAAAAATCATTAATTCTTGAATAGTGCAAGGCTATTTTGTTTCTGTTTTTCTGTTACTACTTATTGCTGACTTGTACGCAGCCAATACTAGATATGTTCCTCTCCATTTTTTTTCTAGAGTGCATCTGGAGAAGTACCTTTTCCTGAAATTTTTAGCTGTTGATTTGGGTGGGATCTTAATTAAAACAGCATCAGAAGCAGGATCCCTTAAAAGCTTAGTATAAAATGAATAAGTGACTAGAAAACCTATTTTGATGTAATTATTTTTAAGTGTTGAATGTTTTTTTATCTAGTTAGCATTGTGTAAATACTTGCATGAATGTGTGATCTGTGGAAGGAAATAGAAGGAAAAATGTGGCTTCTTCCTAGTCTGCAAAACAAAACTCTACCATCCTTCTGCTTTCAAGAATGATTAGGGGAAAATATCAGTTTTCTAATGTGTTTTTAATACTCTTGTCTTATTAAAATATTGTAAAAACTTGTCTGTTTTACAGGATACTGAGATCAGTCAGGTGCTTCTGTGTTATAAAACTCAATTACAGCAGATATACGTAGTGCATAACTTGTTTGTTTACTCTGCAGCCCTAGCAGCCTCAGCTCTGGCTGAGGTGTGTTTTTTTGGATTAAAAGAGTTTAGCAAATCCTGGTGTGCAACAAAACATTAAAAAAGCCGTGAGCCATAAAGTAAAGTAGAAGTGGGAAGCCATATATCAAAATGTTAATCCAGGAGACTTTGGCAGTGCTGCCTTAGCATGGATTTTGAAATAGCTTTTAGGATTTCAGATCAACTTTCTTGGTCTGCCTGTGAGTGTGTTGAAACCACTGTGCTCTGTATGCACTTGTTGGGACTGTCTGGAACAAATAATGTTGTATAATGCTTTTTTTTTACCGTCTCCTTATAGATATATAGCAACAAAACTTTTTCTTGTGAATACCAAAACCATTGGAGATGTTTAATGGTGCCTGTTAGCAGAATATAATTTTTAATTGACTCTTATTTGTTCAAAGAAATGTAAATATGGTCTGGACTTGTCAGCCCACCAAAGTGAGCAGTAGACACTTTAACTCTGCTGTAGCAGGTTGATCTGATGGTTGCTGACATATACTGTGTACAGAGGGTGTCTGGTCACCCAGCCTGGCCTGTTTGCACAACATAGTTGTGCATCATGTAATCAGCTGGTTTATGATATTCATAATTACATTTTCTTGGAATAAATTTGGAATTGCATCTTAATAACAAATCCTTTTAAGACATATATTGTGGCTTTCAAAAAGAGAGATACTTAAAAATAGTGGTAAAATTGTCAGACAACTTCCACAGGCGTAAGAATTGTTATTTTGACAAAAACTTGATGGAAACTCATATTAAAAAGTAGTGAAGGGAGAGGGGTTGAAAAGCCTAACATTTTCCTTCTCTCTTCCGGTCCACTGCAAAATGAAATGTTTTGGTTTTGAACCAAATGTTTCCAAAATGCCTTGTAGGTATTGTGTCCTGAAGGCTGAGGGGAATATGGCATTGCTTTAGCTTTGTCTGAAGATGAGTTGTTAAAGGTTGGAAAAATTCAGTATAAACTCCTGTGTTTGAAACCAATAACAAGACCCATGATATTCTTCTGAAGTGAGAGGACAAATCTGTCTTTACTTAAATGAAAACCCCATCAAGTCTTGTCTTAGAACTTTCAGTTGTTCTTTGTTGGAGACCTCTTTAAGAGTACTAAGTGCCAATGAGGGAACACATTTACTAAGAAGCCCACTTCTGTCTTTGCCAAAGGCTCATTCTTTCTAAAGTTGCATATTTTCCATTACAGTTTTTCATAGTTTCAAGTAAATATGTTATTATGGATGATGTTATAAATTTACAAGTAATTTGAGTATCATGGGAAGAGAGGTAGACTGGATCTAGGGTTTTTTTTCCCTCTGACATTTAGAAAAAAATAAATTGAGAGGAGAAGCATCTCACTTTAAAAAGTGAGAAGATACAGAATGGATCTATAAAATTCCATTTCATCGGGATTTGTTCTAACAGCAGGATCACTCTTGTAAATAAGATGTGCAGTGACACTTCTACCTCATAGGTGAGGTGTTGATGTTGTTTGCGGTTTTTTTACATTTGTTAAATTGAGAGCTGATCTTGATGTGAGTTTTCAGTAAGATAAATTGGTTGCTATGGTGTCTTCGTTGTGATATGGTGAAATCCTCCCAAATATTTTTTGCCTTCATTGCTTTTAATACACCAAGGTTTGAAGTTTGAGGCCTAGTTCACTGGCAGATAACAATTGATCATGGTTCCGTTGACTAATTTTCCATCACAATTTTATTGTGACTCAAAAAAAAAAAAAGGAACAGCTCAGCTTTGCTTCTTCGTAGCTTCCCTGTACAAACAATCAGATTTATAACATAATTCCTTTGAATTAACTTAACAACGTACTGCTATTCCAGAACTATCAAGACACATTTTACTAGCAGAAGAGATTTTAAATTGGAACAAACCCACCTGAATTTAAAGAGAAATGGTGTTATAGTAGTTCATGGATCAAGATAAATAGTGATTGTTCTTGAACTGATGAAATGTAACTCCATTGCTTTGATACAGAAATATGTGACAGGTGTTTTTTGTCAGTTGTGAAGTGCTGTTTGTTCATGAAAATGTTTACCCTGATTATGTAAAAAGAACTGTTATTTTAAATTAGCAATATTATTTTTAGTTCACACTTTGCTCTGCTTTGATGCTTGATCTTCTGTCTGTTAACTGGCAAATACTATGATTATTTCACCGTTGTCTACAACAGTTCTCACGTCTTGACTATCATTGTGTTTTCTAGATTTCATCATCCAATCCTGAGTCCTCTTGAAAGCAGTTTCCAGCTGGAAGTAGATGTGCTTGCACATCTCTTAAAGGCTCAGGCTCAGATTTCAGAGTGGAAGTTCCTTCCATCCCTGGTCAACTTGCACAGTGCTCACGCAAAACTGCAGACTTGGGGCCAAATTTTTGAGAAGCAGCGCGAGACCAAGAAGCATCTGTTCGGAGGGCAGTCTCAGAAGGCTGTGCAACCTCCACACCTCTTCCTCTGGCTGATGAAGCTCAAAAACATTCTCCTTGCTAAGTTTAGCTTTTACTTTCATGAGGCCCTTAGTCGACAGACAACAGCATCTGAAATGAAAACTTTGACTGCTAAAACAAATCCTGATTACTTTGGGAAAATTTCCAGCTTCATCCGGAAATATGATGCTGTCAATGTTTCCTTAATTTTTGACAATCGTGGATCAGAGAGTTTTCAGGGACATGGTTATCATCATCCCCATTCGTACAGGGAAGCCCCCAAAGGAGTGGATCAGTACCCTGCTGTGGTGTCTCTGCCCAGTGACAGGCCTGTTATGCACTGGCCCAATGTAATCATGATTATGACTGATAGAACCTCTGACCTCAACAGTTTGGAGAAGGTTGTTCACTTCTACGATGACAAAGTCCAAAGCACCTACTTTCTGACTCGCCCTGAGCCTCACTTTACCATTGTAGTTATTTTTGAGTCCAAGAAGTCAGAAAGGGACTATCATTTTATTTCTTTTCTCAATGAAATTTCACATTCCCTTAAGAACTCCAAAGCTTTTGCGAGTTTGAAGCCTGGATCCAAAGGGTGAAATACAGACTACTTCCAAGCTGTCAAGGCAGTATGCAAGCCTTGAGGGAGCTGTAGCTTTCAAGAGTTACACAGTCATGATTCTCAAAGTCTAATTGAAAAGGAACCATTTTTTAAAATATTATAAGTTCCTTTTTTTTTAAGCAAACAAACACTTGAAGCAAAGTATTTTTGGGTAGTACTCGGTGGGGCAACTTAATTGTGGGGAGCTAAATGGTGACTGTAGGATTTTTTTGGTATGGTTTTCAGTTTTTGGTATGATTTATTTTTTCAGTTTAGTTGCCTGTATCAGAAAGGAATATATGCACTTTATCTGAGTCTGATCATTGATTGTCTTCTACAGAGTTTACTGAAAATGGGGTGAGGATGGAAGATGCTACCTTTTCAGAAAACTGCATTGCCTGACAGGAAAGATCTCTGGGAACTAAATGCTGATGCAAGGGAATATTGAAAAAGTGAACCTGCAAGGATGCATTTAAAAAAAAATATGAGAATCAGGAGAAGTTAATTATCATTTAGTTTTCAAATGGTTTGAAATGGTATTTGAGGTGTCTGACACTCTCCACTGCACACCAGTCTCTATTCTAAACACCTGTGTCATAAAGCTTTGTCATTGTTACAGAGCTCGAGCTGGGGCAAGGAAAGCTGCAGCATGGGCTGGAAGGCCAGGAGTCCCTGGAGTGCTGTGACAGGGTGGTTCCAGTATTAGTCTTGGCTCAGATTAACTGAAGGAGACAAGCTGAAGTTGAGCAGGTGTTCTAGAAGGAACAGATCCATGGAAAAAGCAGGAAAGCCCTTTTCAAATTGTGCTTTTGTCTGGCTAACTTAAAAAAAAATTCAAGGCAGTAGGAAATTCCCTTTATAAATGAGTTATTTTCAAATTTGCTGTTAGGGTCAACCTGGATTTGTTTGCAAATTTTTATAAGTGTGTAGTTTTTTCTCTGTTCATTTTTAAATCATTTCATAATTAAGCCAAAACACTTCGGGGATTTGGATTTAAATATATAGCCTATGCAGTATGATTACCTCATTCTAAAATGTCTCACCACTTCTGGGCTGCAGGTTTGGATAAAAAAAAGAAGTATGTTTTCTAATTACCCTGAAAGTGCTTTAATTTGGAAATCAGTATTTCCAAATACAATAAAAGGGTCAAATTGGCTGTACCTGTAGCCTTATCTTGTAGGATTCTTCTGAGTGTTATCTATGCAGTTGTGTGTGCACTTTCATGGGGACTTGGGAGGACTAATATATGTGTGTAGTAAAGTTAGGTCACTAGTTGACACTGTAAGGTATAAAATAACATCATCAGGTTTGTTTTAAAAGGGAATTGAAGTCAAAATGTTGGTTTCTGTTAAGACAAATATAGGAGATACCATTGCAAATGTCTTTTAATGATTCTCTTTACCTCCTGCAAAATGTTGTGGTAACTTGTCTTGCCTCACTGCACCTGCTGATTTGTTTACAATCACATAAGCACATTCTGTATTCCAGATAGAAGCTCTGACTTTCCACTTTGTGTCAAATAGAGCCCTCTGTGCTTTGCTGTAACTATGTGTTAGTCTGATGTGAATATTTGTGCCTACTGCCTTTCACCTGAAGTCTGTCTGGCTGCCACCTCAGCCTGCTCATATAACAGGAGTTGCAGTTTTACCAGCAACTGGAGGATTGTCGTGATTAGCCCCAGTCAGCAGCCAAGAGCTACACAGCCACTTGCACTTCCTCCCCTCTTCCCCTGCCCTGGTGGAATGGGGGGAAGGAACAAAAGTAATATATATATAAGTTGAAATAAGAACAGTTTAATAATTCAGAACAAAATGAGATAAAATACTAATGGATAATAAGAAGGAAAAAAACCCCACCAACAAAACCAAACCAGTGGTGCACAGTACAGTTGCTCACCACCCACAGACCGATGCTAGCCCCTGTTCCCAAACCCAGATTGGCCTTGCCCCGGGTAATATCTCCCCAGTTTATATCCTGGGCATGGTGTTCTATGGTATGAAATATCCCTTTGGCTAGATCAAGTCATCTGTCCCGGCTATGCTCCCTCCCAGTTTCTTGTGTACCTTCTCACTGGCAGAGCATGAGACACCAGAAAGAAAATGCCCTTGATTTAAGATAAACACAACCTAGCAGAAACCAAAGCATCAGCGTGTTATCAACATTATTCTAATTCTGAATCCAAAACACAGCATTGTATCAGCTACTGAGAAGGAATTACCTCCATCCCAGCCGAAACCAGCACTGGAGGGCACCTCGTTGTAACAGTGTTACACTTTGCAGCTTGAACTGAGCTTTAGCAGCACCAAGTTTGTGTGCTTCCCTCTGTGGGACAGTGACCTTGTAATAATATTGTAACTGTTACTTCCTGAATAACGGAAAAGGGACTGTCGCCAGAACTGATGCCCAGTCTTCAGCAGTGTAATAAAGTGTTGTACAAAGTCTGTCTGCCTGTACAGTATTTCCCTGGCATACTAACTGTCTGTGTGGAAAAGGGGAAAGTGGGGGGAGACTGTGTGAGGTACACACACCTTCTTGCTCATTTTTGAATTGTAGGAGATAAGTTGGAGGAGCTGAAAGAGAAATCTTGTGCCCTTTGGAGCAGGCCAGCAGCTTTTACTGGTTGCTGAAATGGCTGGAGGCTTTTTGCAGTGGTTTTTATGGGGAGAGGAAAAGTAGGTGACTGTTGAGTAGACCTGGTGGCTCATTTCATGTTCCTGCCACTGTTTTTGGCGAGTGGTGTCTTAGGAACAGGGAAGGGGTGCTAGGTGATATCTCTGTGCAGGAGCAGGTGTGACTTGCTTTGCCTCTTATCAGTGCTGAGGTGGTTTGCTACAGATTTCTTCAGAGGATTTTTGGGAAGTGGTGGCAGGAGCCTTCTGATTCATGGGTAAGAATTTCTGAATATTTCAGTTGATGAAGACCCAAAGAGAGCCATAGCCATTACCCTCATCGTATGAGAAGGGAGGGAATGGGAGAGATGTGCAGGCAAATGGTGGAGAGAGTTGAGTGCTAGAGAGAGGAACTTGTGGGGCTGTTTGGGTTTCAGAATCCTGTCCCTGAGACTCTACTTTTAAGATCTCAGCCTTAAATTAAACCTAGGTGAGGAGTAGAAAATTCAGGCTGCAGGAATTGGCTTGGATGGAAACAGATGAAGCTGAAGAGAGGTGACATTAGAACCAATATCACAGTTCTACAGTGTTGAGGTGTGCTATGACCAAAAACTGAAGGTGTGGGGGGTGTGAGTGTGTGATATAAATGAATATTAACAGATTTGTCAGACCTGTGGAGACTTACAGCACAGTTTTTTACTTCATGCTTTGAGGAGTTTTATGTTTGAAATCACAAATGAGGTAACAGGGAGACTGGGTTGGGTTCAAACTGAAAGAGGGGAAATTTAGTTTAGATATATGGAAGAAATTCTTTGCTGTGAGAATGGTGAGGCACTTGAAGAGGTTGCCCAGAGAGGTTGTGTATGTCCCATCCCTGGTAGTGTTCAAGGCCAGGTTGGATGGGGCTTTGAGCAACTTGGTCTAGTGGAAGGTGATCCTGCCCATGTCAGAGGGGCTGGAGGTAGATGATCTTTATGGTCCTTGGGCAACCTCAACCATTGCCAGTAATGAAAACCTGCATAATTAAGCAAAGGGGGGAACATACCTAATGAGTAAGTAAAAGGTGACCAGAAACTCTGTAACTGGGAAAAAATGTGTTCACAACTAACTTTGGTACCAGAAAGGTTGATCAGTCTCTTTACTATAAGAACTGAAAAACAAATGCAGTTTCACTGGACTGGGTGATATCCTGTCTTCCAGCTTTTCCTCTACACTGATTTAGCTAAGCAAGATTAAATGTACTAATATACTTCAAAAGTCTTTTATAAATGACAGATTTAAATGCAAGATATAAAGATATTTATGATAACATACCGAAAGCCAATGCTTCCAGACATACTCAAACATTTTTAAACAGGTACTGAGATTTGTTATTCCCAGCGCAACTCAGATTGCTTGGAATAGCAGTGTGGAAGCTTATCTTGTAGCAAATTTCATGTACCTCATCACCTGGGTCCATGAGGATTTTGGTGGAAGCTTTAATTTAGTATCCTTTGCCTGCAGTTTGACTTTGACAGCAAATACATTCTAAGAACACATTTTTATGTCTTGTAAACTGATTTCTTTTACATGTGGTGTTTAGATTTTTTCTTGAATAAAATGTCTTTCCTGTTCTCCTCCCTTTGTATGAAGACAATGCAGGAAATGGAAACTATTAATACATTTTGTATTGTGCTGCAAAGGACTGCAACATATGCATAATGAATGTAATATTCAGGTTTTAATGGTCTAAAAGTAATTTAAGTTCCTGGTACCTATTTGAATACTAACACCTAGTGCTTATCTAAGTCACTTTAAAACAAAGTCTCCACTATAACTGGAACTAATTTTATGGCATTCACAAAGTTAATTATTGCTCTGCCTTTTACTGCACTGGGTCCTAATCTTCTCATAACTAAGCTTTGCTTTAAAAAAATCAGCAATGTGCTTTACTTCATCCCTCCAGTCTGTTTTTCTTGTCCTAGTACTTACAACCCCTCATCTTGCAATAGGCAGAATGTCACACAGCATGTCTGGTCCTGGGCTTGCAGTTAGCTCTGTGGTTGCTTCCAGAAGTGCTGGCACTGAGCTAACTTAGCTGGCTGAAGACCTTGGTGTTTCTGCCCTGTTTTCTCCAGAAGTCCTGTTTTCTGACTCCTAGAGAAGTGAGCCAGCCCTGCCCCAGCACTGCTTATTTGCTGAGGCTCTGCCTGAGCCTCAGGAGCAGTAAATCAGCGTCCTGCTCCCTGGGGACAACTATTGTGCTGCTCAGCAGGGGTGGCCTTTGGGCTGCAAATGTGCAAGGGCAGGAGTCGTTTTGGGGAAAAGCAGGAGAGGCTCTGGGACTGAGAATGCTGACAAAGGACAGCAGTAGCTGCTTTGCAGAGCCGGCACGAACAGTATTTGTCAAATGCACGATGGAATTAGACTTTGATTTCCTGTTAGTGAAGGACTAATTTAAAGTCTGCTTTGGAGAATAAAGGTAACAGATTTTTGCCATGAAATTGCTTTAAGTACT